ATCTCAACACCATCACCGCCTCAAAGGATCTCAACACCTCCACTGTCATCAGAAGCAGCTGCATCCTCACCAGTAGCAGCACCAACAGCACGACCACCACCACCATCATCCTCATCCCCAGCCTGCTCCAAAGCAGCCACGCCTTCTTCTTCTACAGCGCCTCTGAAGCCCCCATCCTCACCCCAGGCTACAGCAGACAGGCCTGTGCTGGGGTTTCCTCAACCACCTGCCCCTCCATCAAAGACTCCCTCGCCACCTCCCATGGACCTGTCTTGGGTCCCCCCTGCCACGTCCACTCCATCAAGAGAGAATGGGGACACGTCCCTTTGTTTTTCATCCCCGCCTTCACTGTTAGACCTACCTGAACACTCTGCAGGGCTAATAAAATCGGCGATGAAGACTATTCCTCTCACACCCATATTAGCTAGATCTAGAGTCCTGTCCAACATGCTAAACCACTCCCCATATGTACCTCCAAAACCACCTAGGGTTTCCAATTCACCTACAAAAACCACCCCAGCCAGTCCCTCCCCTAACCTCATGACCATTCCACCCCCACTTCCCCCTCGTTCAACACCCAAAACCTCTGCCTCAGCCCACCCCGGCCCTAACCCATCACCAAAAACCCCTCCACCTCCCTGCCCCCCTCGTTCAACACCCAAAAGCCACCCACCTCTCCATCCTCCTCCCCCGCCTTCCCCTTCCCCTCTTTTCTCTAAACACTAGGATGCACAGGGTCTCTGCTTCGCAGCCACTGGCAGTCTAGTTAGAGGAGAGACCCGGCTGGGGCCCTGTCATGAAGCCACCTGTGCCATTCCCGTAGTGATAACACAAAGAATACATTACAGAAAGACATCTGGAGTTAATAAGTCTAATCTGGAAAATCTAATTCTTGTTCCGTGTAAGAATCAGCCGACCACAACCGCTGATACTGAAACTTTGAAACTTGCTACGCTTAATGTCAGATCTCTTTGTAACAAGTCTTTTTTAATCAATAATTTTATTTGTTCTCATAATCTTGATCTTATGTTCATGGCTGAAACTTGGCTTGACCAAAATTCAGGAAATGCAGTTTTAATAGAAGCATCACCACCAAATTTCAAGTTTGAATCTGAAATACGGGGAAAACAAAAAAGGAGGAGGCTTAGCTGCCTTTTTCAGAGACCACTTTGTCTCCCATAGAATGTCCCTTGGGAAGTTTTCGTCTTTTGAATATGTGTCTTTTAAAATACAACAAAAACAATCTCCTCCAATACTTTTCGTTGTCCTATACAAGCCACCGCAGTCATGTCACAGATTTATTGATAATTTTACCGAGTTGCTTTCAGTTGTATGCACAGATTTTGATAGTTTGGTTATTACAGGTGATTTTAATATTCATGTGGATAATGTTGATGACAGAAATGCAAATGAGCTGAGTTCTGTACTTGAATCCTTTGATCTCACTCAGCACGTAAGTGGCCCCACCCACAGCAGAGGGCACACTCTAGATCTGTTAGTTACTAAGGGGGTGAATATTTCAAATGTAAACGTGGTTGATGTTGCTCTTTCGGATCATTTCTGTGTTTTTTTTTTAACATGTGTTTCACTAACAAACCACCAGTGGACTCTGCAACTGTACGAAGAAGACACATAAATGAAAATACGAGTGAACTATTTATGGGAATGATAAACTTTGAGAATGCATCGTATTCTACTGTAGATGAACTGTTTAACTCTGTCACCTCTAGTGTTTTGAATGTTCTGGATACCGTTGCCCCTGTGAAGGTTAAAATAGTGAAAAATAAGCAGAAGGCGCCGTGGGCTAAAGCAGACTCGGTCAGGGCACAAAAGAGAAAGTGCCGGAGGGCCGAGCGGAAGTGGCGCAAGTCCAACCTCCAGGTTGATTACGAGATCTTCAAAGATAAGTTGTGCGAGTTTAACCGGGTGCTACGTAGTACGAGAGAAAGGTATTTTTCTGAAATGATTGAAGGCTGCAGCAACAATCTGCGTGTTCTGTTTTCAACAGTTAATAGATTAACAAACCCCCCTGTTCAAATGCCATTAGAGCTTACTTCCAAACGTAAATGCAATGAGTTTGCTAATTTTTTCAATGACAAGGTTCAAGGCATCAAAAACGCCATTGTCTCCAATCCACAGATAACCATCCAACAGCCAGAAAGGCTCTCTGAGCTAACTCACTTTGCACCTGTAAATGATAAAACTGTCCAAGAGATAATCTCCAGTTTGAGCTCCTCCACATGCAGCTTGGATGTACTACCCACTAGATTTCTGAAGTCTGTTCTGAGCAGTCTGTTACCTTCACTCACACAGATAGTAAACATGTCCCTTCATTCTGGAATATTCCCAAAGGCCCTGAAAACTGCAGTCATCAGGCCCCTGCTAAAAAAGAGCAGTCTCGATGCTACGGTACTTAACAACTATCGTCCCATCTCAAATCTGCCATTTATGGGGAAAGTCCTTGAAAAAGTTGTCTACCTACAGCTTACTAGATTTCTTATAATCAACAACTCATTTGATATGTTTCAGTCCGGCTTTAGACCCCACCACAGCACTGAGACTGCTCTCGTCAAGGTTACAAACGATATCCGGCTGAACACTGACGCAGGCAAAGTTTCAATCTTAATCTTGTTAGATCTAAGTGCTGCCTTTGACACCGTCGACCATGAGATCCTCTTACAGAGATTAGAGGACTGGGTTGGAGTCGCTGGCACCGCCCTAAGTTGGTTTAGGTCTTACCTTGAAGACAGGAAGTACTTTGTGGAGATTGGAAACTGTGTCTCAGATCATATGGCCCTGACCTGTGGAGTCCCACAGGGGTCGATCCTGGGACCTCTTCTGTTCAATCTCTACATGCTGCCGTTAGGTCAGTTAATACGCAGAAACGAAGTTTCCTATCATAACTATGCAGACGACACTCAGATCTATGTCTCACTGACTGCAGGAGAACATGGACCAGTGGACTCACTCCTTCACTGTATCCAACAGATCAGTGAGTGGATGCAAAACAACTTCCTTCAGCTAAACGCAGACAAAACTGAAATGATTGTCTTTGGTCCCCAGAAACAAAGAGAGAGCGTCATCTGTCACCTACAGTCTCTCTCCCTAAAACCTTCAAACAAGGTCAGAAATCTAGGGGTAATACTGGACTCAGACTTAAATTTTAATAGCCACATCAAATCAGTAACATCAGCAGCTTTTTACCATCTAAAAAACATTGCCAGGATCAAAAACATAGTGTCTAAAGCAGACTTGGAGATTCTTATCCATGCATTTGTCTCCAGTAGGTTAGACTACTGCAATGGCCTGCTCACAGGTCTGTCCAAACAGGCTGTAAAACAGCTGCAGTACATTCAAAATGCAGCAGCTCGAGTCCTGACTAGAACCAGGAAGTACGCCCATATTAGTCCGGTCCTCAGGTCTCTGCACTGGCTTCCTGTGGCTCAGAGAATAGACTTTAAAACAGCTCTGCTTGTGTACAAGTCTCTCCATGGCCTCGCACCAAAATATATTAGTGACATGTTAGTCCCATATGAACCAGCCCGGACTCTGAGGAGCACAGGGACTGGACTCCTGTTAGTGCCCAGAGTCAGAACTAAACATGGGGAGGCTGCTTTTCAGATTCATGCTGCTAAAATCTGGAACAGTCTTCCTGGAGATGTGAGACAGGCCTCCTCTCTGACAATGTTTAAAGCCAGGTTAAAGACAGTTCTGTTTAGCTGTGCATACAACTGAGGGATTTTATATTTGTATCTTTCTTTTTAATGTTCTGTGATTATTTATGATTTTAATGCTTTCTTGTTTTGTTCAGCACTTTGAATTGCCTTGTGTATGAATTGTGCTATATAAATAAACTTGCCTTGCCTTGCCTTGCCTATATTAACGGACAGAGTCACACCTATCTCCGCCGTTCTAACTAATGGGCCAAAAAAAAGTGCTCTACTGGAGCTATCCAAAATGGCCGCGAGTGGTCCCGCCCACAAGAAAATTGTGAAAAAATGCATCTGCGCATGCGTGAGCCGGCGCAACTCCATTCATTTGAACGCGAGACTTCAAAAATTCACAGCAAGTAAACTAGAGTGGACCAAAAAAATCCACCCCCCTCAGCATTGACACACATGTGGAACGGAGCTTTGGGCCAAGAACAACTTTTGGTCCATCCTGTAAAGACGTTTTTGAGAGGTCTGCCAATGCTATATGTTAGCATTGGCTAATTCTACTTCTGGGTCCACCCCCATCGGCCCGGGGTGGTATTGCAGCATGTCAGATCACGTCATTTTGGCCACTTTTGAGCTGGGACCCTCATGACTCCGCCCCCCTCACCACTGCCACTCATGACTCCGCCCCTCTCACCACTGCCACTCATGACTCCGCCCCTCTAACCACTGCCATACTCATGACTCCGCCCCCTCTCACCACTGCCATACTCATGACTCCGCCCCTCTCACCACTGCCACTCATGACTCCGCCCCTCTAACCACTGCCACACTCATGACTCCGCCCCTCTGACCACTGCCACACTCATGACTCCGCCCCTCTCACCACTGCCATACTCATGACTCCGCCCCCTCTCACCACTGCCATACTCATGACTCCGCCCCTCTCACCACTGCCACTCATGACTCCGCCCCTCTAACCACTGCCACTCATGACTCCGCCCCTCTAACCACTGCCATACTCATGACTCCGCCCCTCCCACCACTGCCATACTCATGACTCCGCCCCTCTCACCACTGCCATACTCATGACTCCGCCCCCTCTCACCACTGCCAAACTCATGACTCCGCCCCCTCTCACCACTGCCATACTCGTGACTCCGCCCCTCTAACCACTGCCACACTCGTGACTCCGCCCCTCTAACCACTGCCATACTCATGACTCCGCCCCCTCTCACCACTGCCATACTCATGACTCCGCCCCCTCCCACCACTGCCACACTCATGACTCCGCCCCTCCCACCACTGACACTCATGACTCCGCCCCTCTCACCACTGCCACACTCATGACTCCGCCCCTCTGACCACTGCCACACTCATGACTCCGCCCCTCTCACCACTGCCACACTCATGACTCCGCCCCCTCTCACCACTGCCACTTATGACTCCGCCCCCTCTAACCACTGCCATACTCATGACTCCGCCCCCTCCCACCACTGCCACACTCATGACTCCGCCCCCTCTCACCACTGCCACACTCATGACTCCGCCCCTCTAACCACTGCCATACTCATGACTGCGCCCCTCTAACCACTGCCACACTCATGACTCCGCCCCCTCTCACCACTGCCATACTCATGACTCCGCCCCCTCTCACCACTGCCATACTCATGACTCCGCCCCTCTAACCACTGCCATACTCATGACTCCGCCCCTCTAACCACTGCCATACTCATGACTCCGCCCCCTCTCACCACTGCCATACTCAGTCCCCTCTCACCACTGCCATACTCATGACTCCGCCCCCTCTCACCACTGCCACACTCATGACTCCGCCCCCTCTAACCACTGCCACACTCATGACTCCGCCCCCTCTTAACCACTGCCACACTCCTGACTCCGCCCCCTCTCACCACTGCCATACTCATGACTCCGCCCCTCTCACCACTGCCATACTCATGACTCCGCCCCTCTAACCACTGCCATACTCATGACTCCGCCCCTCTAACCACTGCCACACATGACTCCGCCCCTCTCACCACTGCCACACATGACTCCGCCCCTCTCACCACTGCCACACTCATGACTCCGCCCCTCTCACCACTGCCACACTCATGACTCCGACCCTCTCACCACTGCCACACTCATGACTCCGCCCCCTCTCACCACTGCCACTCATGACTCCGCCCCCTCTAACCACTGCCACACTCATGACTCCACCCCCTCTCACCCACTGCCACACTCGTGACTCCGCCCCTCTCACCACTGCCACTCATGACTCCGCCCCCTCTCACCACTGCCACACTCATGACTCCGCCCCCTCTCACCACTGCCATACTCATGACTCCGCCCCCTCTCACCACTGCCATACTCATGACTCTGCCCCCTCTCACCACTGCCACACTCATGACTCCGCCCCTCGAACCACTGCCACACTCGTGACTCCACCCCTCTCACCACTGCCATACTCCGCCCCTCTCACCACTGCCATACTCATGACTCCGCCCCCTCTCACCACTGCCACTCATGACTCCGCCCCTCTCACCACTGCCACTCATGACTCCGCCCCCTCTCACCACTGCCATACTCATGACTCCGCCCCCTCTCACCACTGCCATACTCATGACTCCGCCCCCTCTCACCACTGCCATACTCATGACTCCGCCCCGTCTCACCACTGCCATACTCATGACTCCGCCCCCTCTCACCACTGCCATACTCATGACTCCGCCCCCTCTCACCACTGCCATACTCATGACTCCGCCCCCTCTCACCACTGCCATACTCATGACTCCGCCCCCTCTCACCACTGCCACTCATGACTCCGCCCCGTCACACCACTGCCATACTCATGACTCCGCCCCCTCTCACCACTGCCATACTCATGACTCCGCCCCCTCTCACCACTGCCACACTCATGACTCCGCCCCCTCCCACCACTGCCACAATCATGACTCCGCCCCTCTCACCACTGCCACACTCATGACTCTGCCCCCTCTCACCACTGCCACTTATGACTCCGCCCCTCCCACCACTGCCATACTCATGACTCCGCCCCCTCTCACCACTGCCATACTCATGACTCCGCCCCCTCTCACCACTGCCACACTCATGACTCCGCCCCCTCTCACCACTGCCATACTCATGACTCCGCCCCCTCCTCACCAATGCCACTCATGACTCCGCCCCCTCTCACCACTGCCACTCATGACTCCGCCCCCCTCACCCCTGCCATACTCATGACTCCGCCCCCTCTCACCACTGCCATACTCATGACTCCGCTCCCTCTCACCACTGCCATACTCATGACTCCGCCCCCTCTCACCACTGCCATACTCATGACTCCGCCCCCTCTCACCACTGCCACACTCATGACTCCGCCCCCTCTCACCACTGCCATACTCATGACTCCGCCCCCTCTCACCAATGCCACTCATGACTCCGCCCCCTCTCACCACTGCCACTCATGACTCCGCCCCCCTCACCCCTGCCATACTCATGACTCCGCCCCCTCTCACCACTGCCATACTCATGACTCCGCTCCCTCTCACCACTGCCATACTCATGACTCCGCCCCCTCTCACCACTGCCATACTCATGACTCCGCCCCCTCTCACCACTGCCACTCATGACTCCGCCCCTCTCACCACTGCCATACTCATGACTCCGCCCCTCTCACCACTGCCACACTCGTGACTCCGCCCCTCGAACCACTGCCACACTCGTGACTCCGCCCCTCTGACCACTGCCACTCATGACTCCGCCCCCTCTAACCACTGCCACTCCGCCCCTCTAACCAATGTCATACTCATGACTCCACCCCTCTAACCTCCTGGTCCCTCCTCGACCTCCACGTCCCTCCCACCCCTTCTGGTCCAGTCTCTCGCCACCTCCTCCTCCTCCTTCTGGTCCCTCCTCCCTCTGGTCCCTCCTCCTTCTCCTCCCTCTGGTCCCCCCTCCTCCTCTTGTTCCCCCTCCTCCTCTTGTTAAGATTGGAACATCTCCAGGATGTATGTTTAAATATTTGGCCCCTAAACAAAGTTATGCATCTGATTTAAAGAGAATGATGTCAGATTACATTATGTATCAACAAGACATTGGCCCCGTCCCAATTCTGAGGGCCCCCATAGGGGATCTACTGGTTCAAAAATATGTCTTTGGCTGAAAAAACAACAATACCAAGGGACTTGAACACAAACAATGTACTTTCTAAGGACCAATGGGCTTCACTGATCAACAACATTTTTCAGATGGAAAAGAAAACCCAGAAACTACGACTGAAAGAGATTCTATTAAAGAAGAAATGGTGAATATGGAAAAACAACATTAAGATGAATTCTACTAGGCTTGTCCCATTTTGATTCTGCTTTTATTTCATTGTATTTGTATTGTACTGTTCTATGTTCTCTTTAATGACGCTTCAGTCTAGGGCTTTGACTTCAAAATTCGATATTCGAATATAATTTGAATATAAAAAAAAAATATATATATATATATATATATATTCGAACGAATATTAGACAGCCCTTAATATTTGAAATGTATTTAATGACTGTAAATAAAATGGTTAGCTCCCAAAGGGGTCGCTGTCACGTGGCTAGGCGGATAACAGCTAAGCTAGCTAGTTCAAAAACTCTCGAACTACATGAAGAATGAACAACAAAGAATTCTGTGCATCAGCGGTGAGTTGCCCATTTATATACCGAACCTATATCCATAATTAGATCCTCTTCAAATGTGTCCTAAAATGTCCGTTTCATGTTAATAGTTATTTCGCGCTACCGGAAGTAGCCGCAGGTTAGCGGAAGTAGTAGCGGAGCTAGCCACAGGCTAGCTTCTCTGCACAGACCATGGATCTATAACACAGACAGGCGCTTGCTGAAAGCCTGTTGTACTTGCTGAATAATGTTAGGAGCTGTTTAATAAATTATAATTAAATATTCAAATATATTCAAATATTTAAATTAATAAACAAACGAATTTTGAATATGATTTTTGTACAAAAGTCAAAGCCCTACTTCAGTCGATCAAATTCTTCTTTAATCCCACCTGAAACACCTCGGCCTCTCTGGTGCTGTCCACAGGGTTCCATTTGAGATCAATTTTTAGTAACAATAATTATAATAATACTAATTAGGGGTGTTATGATTTATATCAAAATGGATCAAAATTACATCATGGTTATAAACATCAAAATCAAAGAGAATTGACGATCACTGTAGCGTTTATTACGTCTGTATGCACGTGGCCGGAACGGTCGTGGTTAACCTAAACAACAGTATTTAATTTAAAGTGGTGGACCGGTGCTTCAGAGTTTTTTCGGGAAACGAGAGTACATTAAAGTTAGTGTAGTGGCGATTTGTCCATAACTTAAACCATGTCCAACTTTAACCAAAGCAAATCAAAAGGCCACTCAGGCGTTTTCAGGTTGGCTTTACGCAGCAAAGGTAACACAAAAGGTCCAAACCAAATTGCATTTTAGGTGGATTTATTGTCCAAGCAAAAAGCATCATGCAGAACTGCAGCCTCTCCTGTCGCTGGTAAAAACCATGTGCCCAAAACGCCTCTACGCTGCGCCATCCTCCCATAGCCCATTTAATCCAGTGACCTAAATTAAACTAAATAAGCAATAATTAACGCAAAATAATCTTAGCAAAATAACTAACTAAAGTAGATCATCAGGAGACTAAAACTCTAACCACTGCCATACTCATGACTCCGCCCCCTCTCACCACTGCCATACTCATGACTCCGCCCCCTCTCACCACTGCCATACTCATGACTCCGCCCCCTCTCACCACTGCCATACTCATGACTCCGCCCCCTCTCACCACTGCCATACTCATGACTCCGCCCCCTCTCACCACTGCCATACTCATGACTCCGCCCCCTCTCACCAATAGACTGTATATATTAACGGACAGAGTCACACCTATCTCCGCCGTTCTAACTAATGGGCCAAAACAATGTGCTCTACTGGAGCTATCCAAAATGGCCGCGAGTGGTCCCGCCCACAAGAAAATTGTGAAAAAATGCATCTGCGCATGCGTGAGCCGGCGCAGCTCCATTCATTTGAACGAGAGACTTCAAAAATTCACAGCAAGTAAACTAGAGTGGACCAAAACAATCCACCCCCCTCAGCATTGACACACATGTGGAACGGAGCTTTGGGCCAAGAACCAACTTTTGGTCCATCCTGTAAAGACGTTTTTGAGAGGTCTGCCAATGCTATATGTTAGCATTGGCTAATTCTACTTCTGGGTCCACCCCCATCGGCACGGGGTGGTATTGCAGCATGTCAGCGCACGTCATTTTGGCCACTTTTGAGCTGGGACCCGCCCCACTGGCTCACTGGCTCACTCAGATTCTGGCTGAGTTTACACGGAGACAATGTGGCAGTAAAACGGTATAGTTGGATGTCGGTTGCTACCAACCGTTCATACGAAGACTGTGTTCCAGGGGGATGAAAACGTAAGTGTTCAGATCCAGCCTGCAGAGTGGGACAACTCAGAAACGCTGCACAGCGGGGGCTCTCTTTCACACCCGCGAGAGGGAAAAGGTGTGAAATCCCCCTCTGCTCTGACCCCCGCCTCCGCGCTGCTCCCCGCACGGAAATTTGGACATGCGCAGTAGCGGAGAACCAACATCAACAACAATGGCGGCGGTCACACTAACTAGCTTCGTGGGCTTCCAGCGCGGCACAGAGGATAATTCTACTCCTTCGTTCGTCCAAACGAGACCACGCGAAGCTCTAGGTTCAGTTTCCATTTTCACAGCTGCTGTTAAAATGCAGAATGATGTTGGTGCGTTCTGAGGGTCTGGCACAGGAAGTGAGTACACTGCCAAGAGGGGGGCTGGGCACGGGGCTGGGGGTCGTGTGAGTGTTGTAAAGTTTCTCTGCCCACTACTGGCCGGGCGCTAGAACCACATCGTTTTTCAACCTCATGTGAACGCTGAGAAATGTGCATTAGGAGCCTGGTCGTTTCTGTTAATAGCCTGGAAACGTCTGCGCAGCGTCTCAGTATAAACAGGGCCTCAGAGGAGGAAGACACGCTGGTGTCCAGTGAAGCAGACACAGACATTATTAGTGACAGGAGTCCGCGCCACAATAGTCCACAGTCAGCCACAGTTTACGTCCTCCGTGTGGCCACCGCGGTAAAGAGGTCCGGCTTTTCGGAGTCAGTGGTAAAGCGGTCCGCACATTAAAAGCGGATAGCCGCTTTATGCTGTTACTCACGGTAACATTGGAAAGAGAAGACGCGGGGATGAGCCGCCACAATGCACGTTTTAACATAAAGCGGCCACCCGCTTTTAATGTGCGAACCTCTTTACCGCTGACTCCGAAAACCCGGGCCTCTTTACCGCGGTGTGTGGCCGCAGTGGAAACATTTTGCGAACGCCAGGCAGGGGACGTAGTGAAGGGGACAGGGGGGTCATAACACCGGGCATGTGGGTGAATGCAGCGGGGATAAACAACCGCGGGGAACGCGGCAGAAGCCGCGGAAGAAAACACACCGCTAATCTGCCTTTACGGACGGCGATGATGATGAAGGCAGAGAGGAAGGAAATCCATAAAAGTGGATCAGAAGTGTTGAAGAGCCTGTTGTTTATTGTTGAGACAATCTGACAAGTTCTGAGCCCATTAATTTAATCGCTCTGTTTCTAAACGATGATTTCTGGAGCCTCATTTCCACTGAGACAAACAGTATGCCACCAGGTCTTTTGAAAGGGTAATATTGAAACCAAACTGCAGATTTCATGACTGGTAAACTATAAGCAGTGCCATCTTGATCATTGAAGGTCTAATACATAATACAATTCCATATGGCTGCTGACCAGTGCTAAAATATTCTATATAAATTGGATCAGTGAATTCATTCCTATCCCACATTGTGTTTTCATACTAAAGAGATTTCACGTTGACTGTTGACAGTATTCCCACATTTCCCAGAGCTCAAAATACACTCTCAAACTACAGCTTTTTGAAATCTTTATACAATAAACATTTTCCAAAATGGCCACCACCTTGATGACGTCACAGTATGCAAATTAGTTGACGAATCAACATCCATCCCAAAGTTTGGTTCATACTGAAGATATTTCTCATTTACAATATGCCTTCATCTCAAACTACTTTAAAGTTATAGCCTTTTGAAATCTTGAAATCGAAATTGTAAATTTTTTTGAAAGAAATGGGCTTAATGCTGCGTGAAAATCCCTTGTCAAAGGCCTGGGTTCCGCACCGTGCTCCTCTTTGCTGTCGTCGTTGTAACATGTCCAGAAGTTCAACTTTTTAGCACTAACCATCTTGTGGGTTTAGTCCATGGTTTTGTCAAGGAGAAAATTAGCATACAGCACTTACAGTCACACTGCTAGCTCTCAGACATGGATTTACATTTGTCAGGCTGAATGCTGTGATACAGGAAACACTGCACAGAGATGACCCCTTAGCCAATCAGGACGCAGAACACAATACGCTGGTTCTTCCTTAGCCAATCAGGACGCAGAACACATTACGCTGGTTCTTCCTTAGCCAATCAGGATGAACATTGCAAGTTCATATACAGTGAAAATCATGCTACAAATAAATCTGCAAGACCGCGAAAAGAGAATCGCTATTCAGCTGAGGAGACTCTGATTCAGAATAAAGAATAACACATTTTTCCTGTACGGAAGTTTCTGATTTGGTGTTTGTAAGTAATTTTTTTACTGTCATGTTTTAGATTATAGATTAGACAGTGAGCCAGATCAGATATATCCCAATGAAAATAATGTTTTTGCACTTTATGATGTGAGAATTGTATCCATGCATGTGTAAGAAAATTGAGGGGGGGATATTCCCCCCTTGGGCCATGGCTAGGGGGGGACTGATCCCCCCCATCCCCCCCTCTGGAGGAAACCCTGATACTCATGACTCCGCCCCCTCTCACCACTGCCATACTCGTGACTCCGCCCCTCTAACCACTGCCACACTCGTGACTCCGCCCCTCTAACCACTGCCACACTCGTGACTCCGCCCCTCTAACCACTGCCACACTCGTGACTCCGCCCCTCTAACCACTGCCATACTCATGACTCCGCCCCTCTCACCACTGCCACACTCATGACTCCGCCCCTCTCACCACTGCCACACTCATGACTCCGCCCCTCTCACCACTGCCACACTCATGACTCCGCCCCCTCTCACCACTGCCACACTCATGACTCCGCCCCCTCTCACCACTGCCACACTCATGACTCCGCCCCTCTCACCACTGCCACACTCATGACTCCGCCCCTCTCACCACTGCCACACTAATGACCCCGCCCCTCTCTCACCACTGCCACTCATGACTCCGCCCCTCCCACCACTGCCATACTCATGACTCCGCCCCTCCCACCACTGCCATACTCATGACTCCGCCCCTCTCACCACTGCCATACTCATGACTCCGCCCCCTCTCACCACTGCCACTCATGACTCCGCCCCTCTCACCACTGCCACACTCGTGACTCCGCCCCTCTAACCACTGCCACACTTGTGACTCCGCCCCTCCCACCACTGCCACACTCATGACTCCGCCCCTCTCACCACTGCCACACTCATGACTCCGCCCCCTCTCACCACTGCCACACTCATGACTCCGCCCCCTCTCACCACTGCCACACTCATGACTCCGCCCCTCTCACCACTGCCACACTCATGACTCCGCCCCTCTCACCACTGCCACACTCATGACTCCGCCCCTCTCACCACTGCCACACTCATGACCCCGCCCCCTCTCACCACTGCCACTCATGACTCCGCCCCTCCCACCACTGCCATACTCATGACTCCGCCCCTCCCACCACTGCCATACTCATGACTCCGCCCCTCTCACCACTGCCATACTCATGACTCCGCCCCCTCTCACCACTGCCACTCATGACTCCGCCCCTCTCACCACTGCCACAATCATGACTCCACCCCCTCCCACCACTGCCACACTCATGAATCCGCCCCTCTAACAGCTGCCACACTCATGACTCCGCCCCTCTCACCACTGCCATACTCATGACTCCGCCCCTCTAACCACACTCATGACTCCACCCCCTCTCACCACTGCCAAACTCATGACTCCACCCCTCTAACCACTGCCACACTCATGACCCAGCCCCCCCTCACCACTGCCATACTCATGACTCCGCCCCCTCTCACCACTGCCATACTCATGACTCCGCCCCCTCTCACCACTGCCACACTCATGACTCCGCCCCCTCTCACCACTGCCACACTCATGACTCAGCCCCCTCCCACCACTGCCACAATCATGACTCCGCCCCTCTCACCACTGCCACTTATGACTCCGCCCCTCCCACCACTGCCATACTCATGACTCCGCCCCCTCTCACCACTGCCATACTCATGACTCCGCCCCCTCTCACCACTGCCACACTCATGACTCCGCCCCCTCCCACCACTGCCACACTCATGACTCCGCCCCTCTCACCACTGCCACACTCATGACTCCGCCCCCTCTCACCACTGCCACTTATGACTCCGCCCCTCCCACCACTGCCATACTCATGACTCCGCCCCTCTCACCACTGCCATACTCATGACTCCGCCCCTCCCACCACTGCCATACTCATGACTCCGCCCCTCTCACCACTGCCATACTCATGACTCCGCCCCTCTAACCACTGCCATACTCATGACTCCGCCCCCTCTCACCACTGCCAAACTCATGACTCTGCCCCCTCTCACCACTGCCATACTCATGACTCCGCCCCTCTAACCACTGCCATACTCATGACTCCGCCCCCCTCTCACCACTGCCACACTCATGACTCCGCCCCCTCCCACCACTGACACTCATGACTCCGCCCCTCTCACCACTGCCACACTCATGACTCCGCCCCCTCTCACCACTGCCACACTCATGACTCCGACCCTCTCACCACTGCCACACTCATGACTCCGCCCCCTCTCACCACTGCCACACTCATGACTCCGCCCCCTCTCACCACTGCCACTCATGACTCCGCCCCCTCTAACCACTGCCATACTCATGACTCCACCCCCTCTCACCACTGCCACACTCGTGACTCCGCCCCTCAAACCAATGCCACACTCGTGACTCCGCCCCTCTAACCAATGCCACACTCGTAACTCCGCCCCTCTAACCACTGCCACTCATGACTCCGCCCCCTCTCTCACCACTGCCATACTCATGACTCCGCCCCCTCTCACCACTGCCATACTCATGACTCCGCCCCCTCTCTCACCACTGCCATACTCATGACTCGGCCCCCTCTCACCACTGCCATACTCATGACTCCGCCCCCTCCCACCACTGCCACACTCATGACTCCGCCCCCTCTCACCACTGCCATACTCATGACTCCGCCCCCTCTCACCACTGCCAAACTCATGACTCCGCCCCCTCTCACCACTGCCATACTCATGACTCCGCCCCTCTAACCACTGCCACACTCATGACTCCGCCCCCTCTCACCACTGCCATACTCATGACTCCGCCCCCTCTCACCACTGCCATACTCATGACTCCGCCCCTCTAACCCATGGGTTAAAGCAAAAAAAAAAGATTTGACTGAACATCACAGTAATATGCAAGACCAAGTTATATTTTTAATTACAATATATTATTGTATAATAGATTGTATATTGCAGCCATTCCCAAACTCAGTAACACCGAGGCCCCCTTAAAAATCTGACGGGTCTGCGTGGCCCCCCAAAATAATAACCAAGAAGACAACATTAAGAATAGGCTCTTCTGGTTATTTTATTTTGGGGAAATAGCCTCTGCTACAAACATTGTAATACAAAAATGATTACAGTGGATTATTCAAGTCAAATAATGAACACAAATATTTTAATATTACAAACAAAACATTATAAATTTAACATTAAATAATTATATTATTTTTTTATTTTTTTTATGACCTCCCGCGGCCCCCCTGCAGTACCCACTTTGGGAGACACTGGTATATTGAATACAGCTCAAATGAATTCTTCAAAGATATACAGTGTATTTTGATATATAAGTGGATCAAGCAACGAGTCAACTTTTTGACAGAATATTAGTGAGAGTAGCTTTACTTGAGGCGATATGGAGCGTCAACACTTTGGCTCTGTCCTCGTCAAAATATCGCAAAAGGACGATACAATTCTGTCCACATTTGTTTGTGGACACGTCAATATTTAAGAAAAAGGTTTCCCTATCAAGTTTGAGTGCACAGTGCACTTCGATCAACTGCAAATGATTTAAATAAATGTACCAGCGGTAGTGATATTCTGAACGTTATTTTCTGCGATAAAGCCACAGACACGGTCCACCAGAGCAAGCCTAGTGTCAGTTGTTGCTGATGCACCAGGTAAAGATGAAGTGTGGGAAAGTGCACAAACAGCTGCCTTGTGCGCAGTTTTGAGCTGGTGGCGAATCAAAACTCTTTTTCTCATTACTCCCATATATGCAATTTTTTATGGCAAAGTACGCACAAGCACCGGCCACTTTCATCTTTTCGCACCATGACTCGTTGATTGGCTCTTTTACATCACGCTGAGTTTTGCAAGAAGATCGCAAACAAGACAACATCAAAAGCTCACCAAGACATGTTTGTCCCCATTCCCAGTCGCAGCAAAGTCCGTTTTGTACATTCCGTTAAGTAAATAGCATTGCTTTTGGTAAACGTTAATTACCTTTAGTCTATTACGCGCCCAGCTTACCAGTCCGCGGATCTGCTGCTGTTATTGCTCCGTTCGAGATTCAATTTTCCTCCTCTTCTCCTTTTCAAAAGCTCCGTGCAGTTTCCAGAAACTTTCACCTCCGTGTTACCAATGCTAACTTCATCGCGTCTTCATTTGCACGTGAGCTCAGCTACGTCCCATTGCCTTGATTCATTTGCGGAGCGCTCATGTGGCCACGGCACGTTCAAGGCCCACTCGTGATTATATTACATATTATTTCTATATACATATAAATACAATTATATTCAAATTATTATTATACATCGAGATATATATATATATATATAAAACAGATTCACAGATTCACCCCCTCTCACCACTGCCACAATCATGACTCCGCCCCTCTCACCACTGCCACACTCATGACTCCGTCCCCTCTCACCACTGCCACTTATGACTCCGCCCCTCCCACCACTGCCATACTCATGACTCCGCCCCTCTCACCACTGCATACTCATGACTCCGCCCCTCCCACCACTGCCATACTCATGACTCCGCCCCTCTCACCACTGCCATACTCATGACTCCGCCCCTCTCACCACTGCCACTCATGACTCCGCCCCTCTAACCACTGCCATACTCATGACTCCGCCCCTCTAACCACTGCCATACTCATGACTCCGCCCCCTCTCACCACTGCCAAACTCATGACTCCGCCCCCTCTCACCACTGCCATACTCGTGACTCCGCCCCTCTAACCACTGCCATACTCATGACTCCGCCCCCTCCCACCACTGCCACACTCATGACTCCGCCCCCTCCCACCACTGACATTCATGACTCCGCCCCTCTCACCACTGCCACACTCATGACTCCGCCCCCTCTCACCACTGCCACACTCATGACTCCGACCCTCTCACCACTGCCACACTCATGACTCCGCCCCTCTCCCACTGCCATACTCATGACTCCGCCCCTACTCATACTCATGACTCCGCCCCTCTAACCACTGCCATACTCATGACTCCGCCCCTCTAACCACTGCCATACTCATGACTCCGCCCCTCTAACCACTGCCACTCATGACTCAGTCCCCTCTCACCACTGCCACACTCATGACTCCGCCCCCTCTAACCACTGCCACACTCATGACTCCGCCCCCTCTTAACCACTGCCACACTCATGACTCCGCCCCCTCTCACCACTGCCATACTCATGACTCCGCCCCTCTAACCACTGCCACTCATAACTCCGCCCCTCTAACCACTGCCATACTCATGACTCCGCCCCCTCCCACCACTGCCACACTCATGACTCCGCCCCCTCCCACCACTGCCACACTCATGACTCCGCCCCCTCTTAACCACTGCCACACTCATGACTCCGCCCCCTCTCACCACTGCCATACTCATGAATCCGCCCCTCTTAACCACTGCCACACTCATGACTCCGCCTCTCTCACCACTGCCATACTCATGACTCCGCCCCCTCTCACCACTGCCATACTCATTACTCCGCCCCCTCTCACCAATGCCATACTCATGACTCCGCCCCCTGTCACCACTGCCATACACATGAATCCGCCCCTCTCACACCACCGCCACACTCATGACTCCGCCCCCTCTCACCACTGCCACACTCATGACTCCGCCCCCTCTCACCACTGCCATACTCATGACTCCGCCCCCTCTCACCACTGCCATACTCATGACTCCGCCCCCTCTCACCACTGCCATACTCATGACTCCGCCCCTCTAACCACTGCCTTACTCATTGACTCCGCCCCTCTAACCAATTGCCACACTCATGACTCCGCCCCTCTCACCACTGCCATACTCATGACTCCGCCCCCTCTCACCACTGCCATACTCATGACTCCGCCCCCTCTCACCACTGCCATACTCATGACTCCGCCCCTCTAACCACTGCCATACTCATTGACTCCGCCCCTCTAACCAATTGCCATACTCATGACTCCGCCCCCTCACCACTGCCATACTCATGACTCCGCCCCTCTAACCACTGCCATACTCATGACTCCACCCCCTCTCACCACTGCCATACTCATGACTCCGCCCCTCTAACCACTGCCATACTCATTGACTCCGCCCCTCTAACCAATTGCCATACTCATGACTCCGCCCCCTCTCACCACTGCCACACTCATGACTCCGCCCCCTCTCACCACTGCCACACTCATGACTCCGCCCCCTCCCACCACTGCCACAATCATGACTCCGCCCCTCTCACCACTGCCACACTCATGACTCCGCCCCCTCTCACCACTGCCACTTATGACTCCGCCCCTCCCACCACTGCCATACTCATGACTCCGCCCCCTCTCACCACTGCCATACTCATGACTCCGCCCCCTCTCACCACTGCCACACTCATGACTCCGCCCCCTCCCACCACTGCCACAATCATGACTCCGCCCCTCTCACCACTGCCATACTCATGACTCCGTCCCCTCTCACCACTGCCACTTATGACTCCGCCCCTCCCACCACTGCCATACTCATGACTCCGCCCCTCTCACCACTGCCATACTCATGACTCCGCCCCTCCCACCACTGCCATACTCATGACTCCGCCCCTCTCACCACTGCCATACTCATGACTCCGCCCCTCTCACCACTGCCACTCATGACTCCGCCCCTCTAACCACTGCCATACTCATGACTCCGCCCCTCTAACCACTGCCATACTCATGACTCCGCCCCTCTCCCTCCACTGCAAACTCATGACCGCCCCTCTCACGCCCTCTACTACTCATGACTCCGCCCCTCTAACCACTGCCACACTCGTGACTCCGCCCCTCTAACCACTGCCATACTCATGACTCCGCCCCCTCTCACCACTGCCACACTCATGACTCCGCCCCCCTCTAACCACTGCCACACTCATGACTCAGCCCCCTCTTAACCACTGCCACACTCATGACTCCGCCCCTCTCACCACTGCCATACTCATGACTCCGCCCCCTCTCACCACTGCCATACTCATGACTCCGTCCCCTCTCACCACTGCCACTTATGACTCCGCCCCTCCCACCACTGCCATACTCATGACTCCGCCCCCTCTCACCACTGCCATACTCATGACTCCGCCCCCTGTCACCACTGCCATACTCATGACTCCGCCCCTCTCACCACTGCCACACTCATGACTCCGCCCCCTCTCACCACTGCCACACTCATGACTCCGCCCCTCTAACCACTGCCATACTCATGACTCGGCCCCCTCTCACCACTGCCATACTCATGACTCCGCCCCTCTAACCACTGCCATACTCATGACTCCGCCCCCTATCACCACTGCCATACTCATGACTCCGCCCCTCTAACCACTGCCATACTCATGACTCCGCCCCTCTAACCACTGCCAAACTCATGACTCCGCCCCCTCTCACCACTGCCACTCATAACTCCGCCCCTCTAACCACTGCCATACTCATGACTCCGCCCCCTCCCACCACTGCCACACTCATGACTCCGCCCCTCTCACCACTGCCACACTCATGACTCCGCCCCCTCCCACCACTGCCACACTCATGACTCCGCCCCCTCTTAACCACTGCCACACTCATGACTCCGCCCCCTCTCACCACTGCCATACTCATGAATCCGCCCCTCTTAACCACTGCCACACTCATGACTCCGCCTCTCTCACCACTGCCATACTCATTACTCCGCCCCCTCTCACCAATGCCATACTCATGACTCCGCCCCCTGTCACCACTGCCATACACATGAATCCGCCCCTCTCACCACTGCCACTCATGACTCCGCCCCCTCTCACCACTGCCAAACTCATGACTCTGCCCCCTCTCACCACTGCCATACTCATGACTCCGCCCCTCTAACCACTGCCATACTCATGACTCCGCCCCCTCTCACCACTGCCACACTCATGACTCCGCCCCCTCCCACCACTGACACTCATGACTCCGCCCCTCTCACCACTGCCACACTCATGACTCCGCCCCCTCTCACCACTGCCACACTCATGACTCCGACCCTCTCACCACTGCCACACTCATGACTCCGCCCCCTCTCACCACTGCCACACTCATGACTCCGCCCCCTCTCACCACTGCCACTCATGACTCCGCCCCCTCTAACCACTGCCATACTCATGACTCCACCCCCTCTCACCACTGCCACACTCGTGACTCCGCCCCTCAAACCAATGCCACACTCGTGACTCCGCCCCCTCTCACCACTGCCACACTCATGACTCCGCCCCCTCTACTCCCCCTGCCATACTCATGACTCCGCCCCCTCTCACCACTGCCATACTCATGACTCCGCCCCCTCTCACCACTGCCATACTCATGACTCCGCCCCTCTAACCACTGCCATACTCATTGACTCCGCCCCTCTAACCAATTGCCATACTCATGACTCCGCCCCCTCACCACTGCCATACTCATGACTCCGCCCCTCTAACCACTGCCATACTCATGACTCCACCCCCTCTCACCACTGCCATACTCATGACTCCGCCCCTCTAACCACTGCCATACTCATTGACTCCGCCCCTCTAACCAATTGCCATACTCATTGACTCCGCCCCTCTAACCAATTGCCATACTCATGACTCCGCCCCCTCTCACCACTGCCACACTCATGACTCCGCCCCCTCTCACCACTGCCACACTCATGACTCCGCCCCCTCCCACCACTGCCACAATCATGACTCCGCCCCTCTCACCACTGCCACACGCATGACTCCGTCCCCTCTCACCACTGCCACTTATGACTCCGCCCCTCCCACCACTGCCATACTCATGACTCCGCCCCTCCCACCACTGCCATACTCATGACTCCGCCCCTCTCACCACTGCCATACTCATGACTCCGCCCCTCTCACCACTGCCACTCATGACTCCGCCCCTCTAACCACTGCCATACTCATGACTCCGCCCCTCTAACCACTGCCATACTCATGACTCCGCCCCCTCTCACCACTGCCAAACTCATGACTCCGCCCCCTCTCACCACTGCCACACTCGTGACTCCGCCCCTCTAACCACTGCCACACTCATGACTCCGCCCCCTCTCACCACTGCCATACTCATGACTCCGCCCCCTCCCACCACTGCCACACTCATGACTCCGCCCCCTCCCACCACTGACACTCATGACTCCGCCCCTCTCACCACTGCCACACTCATGACTCCGCCCCCTCTCACCACTGCCACACTCATGACTCCGACCCTCTCACCACTGCCACACTCATGACTCCGCCCCCTCTCACCACTGCCACTCATGACTCCGCCCCTCTAACCACTGCCATACTCATGACTCCGCCCCTCTAACCACTGCCATACTCATGACTCCGCCCCTCTAACCACTGCCACTCATGACTCAGTCCCCTCTCACCACTGCCACACTCATGACTCCGCCCCCTCTAACCACTGCCACACTCATGACTCCGCCCCCTCTTAACCACTGCCACACTCATGACTCCGCCCCCTCTCACCACTGCCATACTCATGAATCCACCCCTCTTAACCACTGCCACACTCATGACTCCGCCCCTCTTAACCACTGCCACACTCATGACTCCGCCCCTCTCACCACTGCCATACTCATGACTCCGCCCCCTCTCACCACTGCCATACTCATGACTCCGCCCCCTCTAACCACTGCCATACTCATGACTCCGCCCCCTGTCACCACTGCCATACTCATGACTCCGCCCCCTCTCACCACTGCCACACTCATGACTCCGCCTCTCTCACCACTGCCATACTCATGACTCCGCCCCCTCTCACCACTGCCATACTCATTACTCCGCCCCCTCTCACCAATGCCATACTCATGACTCCGCCCCCTGTCACCACTGCCATACACATGAATCCGCCCCTCTCACCACCGCCACACTCATGACTCCGCCCCCTCTCACCACCGCCACACTCATGACTCCGCCCCCTCTCACCACTGCCATACTCATGACTCCGCCCCCTCTCACCACTGCCATACTCATGACTCCGCCCCTCTAACCACTGCCTTACTCATTGACTCCGCCCCTCTAACCAATTGCCACACTCATGACTCCGCCCCTCTCACCACTGCCATTCTCATGACTCCGCCCCCTCTCACCACTGCCATACTCATGACTCCGCCCCCTCTCACCACTGCCATACTCATGACTCCGCCCCTCTAACCACTGCCATACTCATTGACTCCGCCCCTCTAACCAATTGCCATACTCATGACTCCGCCCCCTCACCACTGCCATACTCATGACTCCGCCCCTCTAACCACTGCCATACTCATTGACTCCGCCCCTCTAACCAATTGCCATACTCATGACTCCGCCCCCTCTCACCACTGCCACACTCATGACTCCGCCCCCTCCCACCACTGCCACTTATGACTCCGCCCCTCCCACCACTGCCATACTCATGACTCCGCCCCCTCTCACCACTGCCCACTCATGACTCCGACCCTCTCACCACTGCCACACTCATGACTCCGCCCCCTCTAACCACTGCCATACTCATGACTCCGCCCCTCTAACCACTGCCATACTCATGACTCCGCCCCTCTAACCACTGCCACTCATGACTCAGTCCCCTCTCACCACTGCCACACTCATGACTCCGCCCCCTCTAACCACTGCCACACTCATGACTCCGCCCCCTCTTAACCACTGCCACACTCATGACTCCGCCCCCTCTCACCACTGCCATACTCATGACTCCGCCCCTCTCACCACTGCCATACTCATGACTCCGCCCCCTCTCACCACTGCCATACTCATGACTCCGCCCCCTCTAACCACTGCCATACTCATGACTCCGCCCCCTGTCACCACTTCCATACTCATGACTCCGCCCCCTCTCACCACTGCCACACTCATGACTCCGCCTCTCTCACCACTGCCATACTCATGACTCCGCCCCCTCTCACCACTGCCATACTCATTACTCCGCCCCCTCTCACCAATGCCATACTCATGACTCCGCCCCCTGTCACCACTGCCATACACATGAATCCGCCCCTCTCACCACCGCCACACTCATGACTCCGCCCCCTCTCACCACCGCCACACTCATGACTCCGCCCCCTCTCACCACTGCCATACTCATGACTCCGCCCCCTCTCACCACTGCCATACTCATGACTCCGCCCCTCTAACCACTGCCTTACTCATTGACTCCGCCCCTCTAACCAATTGCCACACTCATGACTCCGCCCCTCTCACCACTGCCATTCTCATGACTCCGCCCCCTCTCACCACTGCCATACTCATGACTCCGCCCCCTCTCACCACTGCCATACTCATGACTCCGCCCCTCTAACCACTGCCATACTCATTGACTCCGCCCCTCTAACCAATTGCCATACTCATGACTCCGCCCCCTCACCACTGCCATACTCATGACTCCGCCCCTCTAACCACTGCCATACTCATTGACTCCGCCCCTCTAACCAATTGCCATACTCATGACTCCGCCCCCTCTCACCACTGCCACACTCATGACTCCGCCCCCTCCCACCACTGCCACTTATGACTCCGCCCCTCCCACCACTGCCATACTCATGACTCCGCCCCCTCTCACCACTGCCATACTCATGACTCCGCCCCCTCTCACCACTGCCACACTCATGACTCCGCCCCCTCCCACCACTGCCACAATCATGACTCCGCCCCTCTCACCACTGCCACACTCATGACTCCGTCCCCTCTCACCACTGCCACTTATGACTCCGCCCCTCCCACCACTGCCATACTCATGACTCCGCCCCTCTCACCACTGCCATACTCATGACTCCGCCCCTCTAACCACTGCCATACTCATGACTCCGCCCCCTCTCACCACTGCCACTCATAACTCCGCCCCTCTAACCACTGCCATACTCATGACTCCGCCCCCTCCCACCACTGCCACACTCATGACTCCGCCCCTCTCACCACTGCCACACTCATGACTCCGCCCCCTCCCACCACTGCCACACTCATGACTCCGCCCCCTCTCACCACTGCCATACTCATGAATCCGCCCCTCTTAACCACTGCCACACTCATGACTCCGCCCCCTCTTAACCACTGCCACACTCATGACTCCGCCCCCTCTCACCACTGCCATACTCATGAATCCGCCCCTCTCACCACTGCCATACTCATTACTCCGCCCCCTCTCACCAATGCCATACTCATGACTCCGCCCCCTGTCACCACTGCCATACACATCAATCCGCCCCTCTCACCACTGCCACACTCATGACTCCGCCCCTCTCACCACTGCCATACTCATGACTCCGCCCCTCTAACCACTGCCATACTCATTGACTCCGCCCCTCTAACCAATTGCCATACTCATGACTCCACCCCCTCACCACTGCCACACTCGTGACTCCGCCACTCTAACCACTGCCACTCATGACTCCGCCCCTCTAACCACTGCCACACTCATGACTCCGCCCCCTCTAACCACTGCCACACTCATGACTCCGCCCCCTCTCACCACTGCCACTCCACCCCTCTAACCTCCTGGTCCCTCCTCGACCTCCACGTCCCTCCCACCCCTTCTGGTCCAGTCCCTCTCCACCTCCTTCTCCTTTTGGTCCCATCTCCTCCTTCTGATCCCTCCTCTCCCCTTCTCCTCCTGGTCCCTCCTCTACCTCCACGTCCCTCCCGCCCCTTGTGGTCCAGTCTCTCGCCACCTCCTCCTCCTCCTTCTGGTCCCTCCTCCCTCTGGTCCCTCCTCCCTCTGGTCCCTCCTCCCTCTGGTCCCCCCTCCTCCCTCTGGTCCCCCCTCCTCCCTCTGGTCCCCCCTCCTCCCTCTGGTCCCCCCTCCTCCCTCTGGTCCCCCCTCCTCCCTCTGGTCCCCCCTCCTCCCTCTGGTCCCCCCTCCTCCTCTTGTTAAGATTGGAACATCTCCAGGATGTAAGTTTAAATATTTGGCCCCTAAACAAAGTTATGCATCTGATTTAAAGAGAATGATGTCAGATTACATTATGTATCAACAAGACATTGGCCCCGTCCCAATTCTGAGGGCCCCCATAGGGGATCTACTGGTTCAAAAATATGTCTTTGGCTGAAAAAACAACAATACCAAGGGACTTGAACACAAACAAAGTACTTTCTAAGGACCAATGGGCTTCACTGATCAACAACATTTTTCAGATGGAAAAGAAAACCCAGAAACTACGACTGAAAGATTCTATTAAAGAAGAAATGGTGAATATGGAAAAACAACATTAAGATGAATTCTACTAGGCTTGTCCCATTTTGATTATTTTATTTCATTGTATTTGTATTGTACTGTTCTATGTTCTCTTTAAAGGACAAATGAAAGAATGATGCACAGCTACATTTGAGGCTAAACACAACAGAGACCGAGGACACCGGGTGACACCGGGTGACACCGGGTGACACCGGGTGACACCGGGTGACACCGGGTGACACTTGTGAGCGCATGAAGAGAAGTGGATGAAGATATGTATTTGTTCCAGTCCAATAAATACATTTCCATCCACGTCCTTTACAAACTCACGTCAATGAATGTTGTCTGCAGCTGACAGGAAACACGTTCACAGACCCGAGTCAAGCTAACGACTAGCATTAGCATTAGCATTAGCATTAGCATTAGCATCAGGCTCCGACTGGGGGCGGGTTTGACTCAAATCTCGGCATTTCGTCCCGAGCAGAGGGAAATATTCACAGATAAATGAGTGATTATTGTCGGTAATCACCGTCAGGTCACGGTTAGGGCTAATAACAGTTCATTAGTTTAAGGTTAGGTGTAATAAGTTATGGGTTAGATGAGCTCGTTTACTGCAGGAGGAAATGCCAAGATGTGAGAGAGACACAGACAAACTTAAAGCTGGATTCCCGAGGCCCACAGTCTGTTAGTGGTGAATAAAAGAGGTTTAAAGCTTTGTTCTTACATCTGTGCTGTGTGGAGAGGTACAGTCTATGGTGGAGAGTAATCTTGATCGAGTAATCCTGGGCTGATTCTGATGAAGCGCGTGTTGATGACGTAGCTGGCTGCAATGAGACCATAGCATGGATCCCCCACACTGCACCTTACACTCCTCTACGAAGTGTGCATTTGTTTGAAGTGCACACAAGGGTTTGAGTGGCAGGTTAAAAGCAAAAAAGGCGGAATTGGGACAGTGCACACTGAGTGCAGGATACGTCATCGACTCGTCAAGAGATGGTCATTTTCAGACATAAACTTTATAAACAATGAGGGAATTTTGTCTGACGCTGTGGGAAACAAAATGCACATTATCCGATGTGAACGCATGTAAGTGCTGCTTAGAACCGAAGGCTCAACCAAGAACAGGCAGGTGCATCTGTAGCATATTCAATCTTTGTGTCTTGTTAAATGTTTATTAATGAGAAATGTTTTTTTCAATGTGAGGTGAAAGAAAAAAATAATGAACACATAAAAGATAAACATTGTAATAATGTAATCTGCTGGCGCGCTGAACGCGTCACTTTTGACTAGCCTTCTGATTGGCTGAAATCGGTCCCTGTTGTAGAACCATGATTGTATTATGGGTAGAACCTACCTACGAATAAAATACTCGCCCGCAGCCAAAGCAAACCAAGATGGCGGACATGTAGTCCGTGGATTGGTTTAAACGTTAAAATACGTATGAATTAAGACACAAATGTCAATTTTAATGCAATTTGAGGCGATATGTTGATGGTTCCGCGTTGTGATATGTGGGTTTTAAGAGTAAGAGTTTCGTGTAAAGTTTGTTTTAAGCAGTCCACTGCTCCTGTGAAACTACACTGCTAGTGTACCCAAATCTGATTTGCGCATGCGCAGAAACTCGCCAGAATGGAGAAAAAACTCGATCTAATTAAGTATTTCGTTTGTTAATCATATTGAATACAGTATGATACATGCGTTATGTGAATGGCTCTGAAATGTAGACACTGAATAAGTTCTACACAAAACAAAAACTGAAAGCAGACATAAACATAGATTTGTGCACACTCAGAAACACAAATTCCTCCTTCCTCCTCCGTCGAGCAAAGACGTGTCTTAGTCCGCTCCTGCTTCTGAACGGCTTGCTATCTCCTGTTTTTGTCTTTTTTCCTGGAGCTTTGCCACAGACAACTCTAACAGAATGGAAATGATTAATTGGTCCCTCAACGCAATTGATTCTATCTTTTCAACACGTAAGCGTGGGTCTGGAGAGCCCGTGTGTCCGGACGGGACTTCACCAGCGGGGTATACTCTTGACAGCTGGAACAAGTGGCAGCCCCTCTGTCTGTCGACCCTGTCCATTGAAGATTCGGAAGACGTATATATCTTTGGCATTTTGGTGGTGGGAATCCTCCTGTTTGGGTTTGGAGCGATCCTCTTCTACCACAAATTCGGAGGCATGGCAGTTCGCAAGATTCACGACCTGCTGGCCGATAAAATTGATGGGATGTACAAGGAGCTTAGCCGTGTCGTGGTTGAGAGTGCCGTGTCTGGACAAAGAAGGGTGGTTTTGGTGGAACAGTTGATCAAAGACCTCGCAGCTCGTTCACTTGATGGACATAAGACCTTGGAATTGAGATTGAATGACATTGTTTGTCAGGCTTGATCTCTCTGACCCGGCTTGGATTTGCCCCTGTGTACGGAGGTCTGAGGGCACCGGAATTCGGTTTAATTGGAATTAATAGAATATCTGCCTGCTTTTGACTGCGACATTGCAGGCGATGTGTTTTTCTCCTCCTGTGGCTTCTCTCCACTCTTATCTCACATTCCTCAGCCAAGGCCATAAACAAGGTCCCACAATCTACAACAACTCACACTATTTCAGTCTTCAGCAAGGATCCCCCACCCCCGCCTCCCTCTACCTATCCATCTTGCTCCCTCCCTCCCCTCCATTCCTTATTGTTTTCCTACTCACCCCCTCCCTGATCCCGCCCCCCTCTGACAGCTACATTGGGCCGGCCGAAGAGGTGCTCTTCCCGAGAAAAAAATCCGTGGTTTATAAAAAGCACAATGTGTCTATCCAATTGTCTGTGAACTGTATGTTATTGCTCTCTGCTGTTTCTTGCTGCACACAGCGCCGCAAATGGCGAAGTGGCACGCTCTCTGCCAAAACAATTTCCAAGTGATAACTTTGTTACTCACGTGGCAATAAAAATGATTCTGATTCTGATTCTGATTCATAGAAATCAACTGGACAATTTGTTTGGCTACAGCAAAATATGTTATTCCCACCACTGTTGAGGACACGAAAACACGAAACAGACCCGAGTCAAGCTAACGACTAGCATTAGCATTAGCATTAGCATTAGCACTAGCATTAGCATTAGCATTAGCATTAGCATTAGCATTAGCATTAGCATTAGCATTAGCATTAGCATCAGGCTCCGACTGGGGGCGGGTTTGACTCAAATCTCGGCATTTCGTCCCGAGCAGAGGGAAATATTCACAGATAAATGAGTGATTATTGTCGGTAATCACCGTCAGGTCACGGTTAGGGCTAATAACAGTTCATTAGTTTAAGGTTAGGTGTAATAAGTTATGGGTTAGATGAGCTCGTTTACTGCAGGAGGAAATGCCAAGATGTGAGAGAGACACAGACAAACTTAAAGCTGGATTCCCGAGGCCCACAGTCTGTTAGTGGTGAATAAAAGAGGTTTAAAGCTTTGTTCTTACATCTGTGCTGTGTGGAGAGGTACAGTCTATGGTGGAGAGTGATGTGCTGAGCCGAGTCTTCAAAGCCTGTACCGAGTAATCAAGGGGAATTCTTTAATAAGTGTGGGTCGAGCGAGGCGTGAGAGAAGGGTCTGTCTGCAGCCTGCAAGACAGAGGCGTGTCGTGACGTCACTGCAAGACAATCCCACTACACGAATGAAGTTAAACCAAGTGGAATTCTGCAAGAATATCCGTCGAAAACTCGGAGAAGACATGGCAGACCGTACGCAGTCAGTGACAACTAACAACGTGTTTTATTTATTTTTAGGCCGTCACAGAAGTTACAGTGTATTCATGAATAAATGCACATCACCCTGATTAGAAATGTTTTATAAGAAGTGAACTAATACATTGCAGAGAAAGCAATTCATATGAGTTTCTTCTGAGAGTCCATGTGCCATCAACATGTCGTTAGGCACATAGAATAATTGCCCAAGTCATTTTGCATCGTTAAAATGGCAACAAGAGGAAAAACATAACTTTTTACATGTTTTCCAAGAACAGTGGAAAATTAGTTAGTCAATTATGCAACGTAGCTCACGATGTTTCCGATCACAGAAGTCACTGACCATAGTTATTGGATGATGTTACAAGACATTTGTGTTTCTGAGTGTGCACAAATCTATGTTTATGTCTGCTTTCAGTTTTTGTTTTGTGTAGAACTTATTCAGTGTCTACATTTCAGAGCCATTCACATAACGCATGTATCATACTGTATTCAATATGATTAACAATAGTGTATTCAAACGAAATACTTAATTAGATCGAGTTTTTTCTCCATTCTGGCGAGTTTTTGCGCATGCGCAAATCAGATTTGGGTACACTAGCAGTGTAGTTTCACAGGAGCAGTGGACTGCTTAAAACAAACTTTACACGAAACTCTTACTCTTAAAACCCACATATCACAACGCGGAACCATCAACATCTCGCCTCAAATTGCATTAAAATTGACATTTGTGTCTTAATTCATACGTATTTTAACGTTTAAACCAATCCACGGACTACATGTCCGCCATCTTGGTTTGCTTTGGCTGCGGGCGAGTATTTTATTCGTAGGTAGGTTCTACCATACAGTCTATAGATATTTTATTCATCACCCTGGGAGAAATTCATGTCCTATAGCAGCAAAAAAAAAAAATACAACTGCATTGATACTGTGCCGCAACAGTGCAGCTCTATACCGACACCTGGTGGATCTCAGAAGTAATTGCATTCAACTCGGTGAAGTATGTCCAATTAATGCATATTTTGGACACTATCACCCTAGCTTTAGAGAACGTCAATAAAAAAGGAATCGGACCACCTGTCAGTGATCTTTTTCCAAATAAAAAATCTAATTTGTGATA